GGAGCCACACTAGCCGCGGCGGCGGCGGAGGGATTATCAGGCGGGACAATCGAAACCATGGCCGTGGCTTGAGCCGGCCCGGCATCGAGACCGCCTTCGAAATCGAAGCTCAAGCCATCAGCTTCCTCCATCGCCACGTACCAGCGAGTTTTTTTATTTTCTAGGGTTTTTCTGAGAAGGGAAAAAATAGAATAACCAGAAAATGTTTCGGACAGCGATATTAAAGACGCGGTTGGCAAATTCGGTCCGGTTTAATTGTAGTCAAATCACGTATATCCGGTTCGGTTCAATAGATATCCGGTTTAGTTCTCGAATTCGGTTCGGTTAACGAACCTTCAAGCACATAATACAATGTAGGATACCCAAAAATATGTGATATTATGATAAATTTGCATCCAATAAGATTATAACTCATTAATTATTCAATTCAATTATGAATATTAGAATTTGAAAATTTTAAGTAATTCAGTAACTTTAGTCGAAGGGTCTCAACAATACAATACAATAAATGATATATTTTGCAAGTGCAATTCAAAACCTGCATTTAAATATATCCTATAATTATCTTAAACGCAATAAAAATATTTTCTGTTTACAAAAAAAATTGACCAATATATATATATATATATATGTTCGATTTTCCATTTTAAAACCTACCTAATTATTTGCCCAAAAAAACAATACAAATTACAAAAAAGCATTTCTAATTTTTTTTTCCTTGCATATTTTTTTTGCTCTATCTCTAAGCACTCATCCCGATTGGAGGTGTTCTTCGTTGCTCTTTTCATCGTCTCTTCGATCTCAGATCGAATTTCTGCGACATTTCTCCGTGAACACAATCATGAGTTCTTAGGGTTTGGCTACGTTGTCTCCTCTCGAATCTTCGCTTCTCAGGTCGAATTTTTCAGTCCCTGTTAGGGTTTCGAAGATCCGAATCTCTTGAGGGGGTATTTCGGCGTTTTGAGCTCGCGGCAAGATGTTCTGGCGGATGGCGGGATTGTCCACGGCGTCTCCGGTGAGTTATCTCGTTGCTGTTCTTTTTGTTTCACGATCTTATTGCGTGCGTTGTAGATATCTACGAGAGATTGCACTCCACGGAGATGTATTATCTTCTCTCTGTTTTTTCCATCCTGGGCAGATTTCGTTCCTTCGAACCTTGCGTTTTGAGCTTATCCGGATTAGTGGGTTTGCCTCTGATTCCGGGATTTTGCATTTTCCGTCTGTTTCTTGGACGAATTGAGGGTTGTGAAATGATTATGGTTTCCAGATTAGAAGAAGCTCCAGTTTATTTACTTTCTTAGTGATGTAGAGTCTTGCCTACGGGATTTGTATTGATATCTGAGCTCTCTGGCTCTCTTTAGAGGCCCATTATGTGGCGGAACCTTTGTGTAAGGAGTTGAGTGAACAGAACGTTACCTTAAGACAGACCTTCCCCTACATTTTTATAGCATTCTCTAGTGAAAATTAGGTAATTTTGTGGGGTATGGAGAGGAAGTGCAAAAACCCACCAATTCAAATCACATTCCTGC